GTGTGTGTGTGTTCGAGGAAGAGAGAGGCAGGGAGAGACGAAAAGAAAGAGAATGTTGAAATGAAAAGAGACTAGAAATTACTATGAACACAAAAACCCAATTGATCGTTCCAACCTGCTATACTCCTGTTCGCTGTTCTGCAGTTTTCAGAACTTTTTTGTTGAAAGGCATTGGACAAAAGATTCCTAGAGTGATTCATATCTCATCTGAAAGAATTCTAGTGCGATAGAACCTTTTCAGAGCCAGGAGAGGGTGGAAGTTGTGTCTGCACGTGCAGACCCCCCCCCCCTCTCTCTCTCTCTCTCTCCCTCTCCCTCTCTCTCTCTCCCTCTCTCTTTTTATCTCGTTAATTCTCTCTCAAACCATTTCTCTCTCCCCCTGCCCTTTTTCCAACTGTAGATTTCGTTCTTTCTGTCTATACATCTCTCCTCTCCCGCTGTGAATTCTTGTGCTAGAGGACCACAGATGCCCCGCTCAGTAACATTTCTGAAATAACCCTAGCATTTTTGAAGAGCTTGAAAATATAACCCCGAAAGCTTGCTAATGATCCCCGTGGATCAAAATCTTTGTTTGCTTTTTTTAACGAATACTCGCATTGTGAAATAGTTTTCGGCTGTTCTACTATTGTTTTTTCTCTTTTTCTGTTTTTTCTTCTTTTATTCCCCCCATTTATGTAAACAATTGGGATTTTGGTTTTGTCTTGTTGATTTGAGGGAAAAAAGTGGGTGATTGGCGTGTGTACTTGTGTGATTTGCTGCTTCTTTCCTATCAAGCAACTATCGGCCTTATCGTTCCTCCTTTTTTATGTTTGTTACTCTCTTGTAACACCTCTAATCTACGGCATTTATATGCAACGTAATTGTGTTGCAAGCGCCGTAAACTCTTACACTAAAAAAAGAAAGAAAAAAACACCCCGTCTCCTTCGTCGTGTATCTGTTTTTACCGCAAAAAAGAATATTTAAGAAAATCGAACCTCTTTGATCTTTTGTAGTATGTCGATGACCTACTTACGCTTAAATTAAAGTGACGTCACAGATCAGCAGCCAATTATCGTCGGCTGAATAGGGTAGCGCGAGAAAGCAGAGCGCGTCGACTGAAGCCTGCCTGAGGCGTTCAGAAGTCGATCTTTTTTTTCTCTTTAAAAAAAAGTGTGTGTGTGTGTGTATGTGTGTGTGTGTGTGTGTGTGTGTGTGTGTGTGTGTGTGTGTGTGTGTGTGTGTTTTGTTGTATATTATGCGCACCGCGTTGCAGAGATGGTGAAATGACTCGGTGTGAGTAGTGAGTGTCACTGGTGGCCTCTAGGGTCTGTCATTATCTCTGAGAGTTGTCGCGATCATGATAGCACTCGGCGGAACTCTCTTGTCGCGGTCTCGTTACCCCGCTGTTTGATTGGCTGGCTCCCTTCTTCTTTGCGATCTCTCTCTCTCTCTCTCTCTCTCTCTCTCTCTCTCTCTCTCTCTCTTTCCCCCTCTCACCCTCTCACCCCCCCTCTTCCCTCCCCCGTGCTCATAAGAGGTTCTTGTTGTCGTTTTAACCCTTCTCTCGTCGCTCGTGAAGTGCTAACAATGCTTGTCAGCGGTGCGCACGTCGTTTGTGATTGCGCTCACTTCCCCAACGCCGGCAAGAAATCAACATGTGTTTCACTTGAGTTGGATGTGATGTGGTGAATATTTCTTCCGAGAAAAGGAACTGGAGTGTAGCGCGGAAGTGAAAAAAAAAATGCTCTGTCAGGCTATCTCAATGTGTGAGTGGCAGAACTTCTCTCTAAGCTCTCTCTCTCTGTTATTCCTTTGGATATTGTCTGCGTCAAGTCAAATCGTGGTTTATACATTTTTATTTCCCTCTGTGATTCCGATAGATATGTTCATGTTTCACTTCTTCTTTCGTATCAAACGTCTATCGTCCTTATCTCCCCGTCTTCTGTTTTTATGTTTGTTACTCTCGTGTAACACCTCTAATCTTCTGGCGCTCATATGACCTTACGCAGTTGCGAGCGCCGTAAAACCTCTACTAAAACTAAAACTAAACTAAAAAACGTGTTTCACAGTGAATTACCCTTTACGTGCTGTCGATATTTATGTGTTCACATATCTTGGTGCTGGTGGTTGGAGGGCATTAGTTGTAATTCCTACTTCTTTGTTTTCCCTCCGTTGTGTCTGTCTGTCTTTTTCCCGTCACTAATTATTGTGTCGATGTGCCTCTCTTTTCTCAAAGAAACAATTATGGTGAATATTTATCTGAGCACCACATTTTTTGTTGTTGCCAGTATTGGCGAGTAACCAGTATGATTCTGGATTCTTTAAAAGATCAAAGGCCACTGTGAGACAGATCACAATCGGTATCAATACTGTCCACTTAAGCTAAGTGCGACAACTTTAGTTCTTTCAAATATTTTTGCGCGCTCACCCCCCCCCCCCGGCCACATAAACAAGAAAACCCCCACAACAACAACAACATAAACAACGGTAGATAATCTTGGTACTTTCGTCAGGGATTTATTAAGACTTGTCTTAGATTTGTTGTCATTGTTTTAATAAAATAAAGTTAACGAAATTGTTATAAGGGGGAATAGTTTACTCGTTTAATTGAAGTCAAGGAACCCTAATTGATTACTTGAGAGCCTTGGCTTTTCATAATTATATTATTATAATGTGGAAATGCTTACGAGCAAAATAAGATTGTAATTTTGTTATGAATACTCCTAGTGTGTGTGTGTGTTTGTGTGTGTGTGTGTGTGTGTGTGTGTGTGTGTGTGTGTGTGTGTGTGTGC